GAAGTGACTAAAAAGCACTTTAGCTCTTTCCAATTGCACTAAAAAATAAAATAAATCTTGCTTTGCTAAGTTCTAGAATCTGAAAACAAATAAGTAAAAAACCAAGAACAAACAAACATTTATTTACTAAAACTACTATTTAAACAAATTAAATTAAACAGAGAACAACATTGATACTTCTTGAAAGCTGAAAAACTTTTTATCTCAAATTTGCATGTAGACCTTGCTTATAAAACCACTTGAATAAGAAAAACATCACAAAAGCCTAGAAGCTACTTAAAAATGATATATGCAACAATGAACTTTAAATGTTGATTGGAGTAGATTTTTTTTTAAATTCAAAATGATTTGTTCTTCTATAGCAAATAAATACACCATAAATCTGAAGTTAAAAATGTAACAAAGAAAAACATCATATGTGAATTGAAAATTAATGTACCTGATAGAGATAAGCTGTGGTGATACCTGAGTAGTAGTTGCTAAATATTATTTTTTTATGATAAACAAATTGTATTTATAGCGAAATGAATTTCAGTAAATAAATAAAAGCAGTGAGTTCTAATAATGAAACTACTTATTAATCATTTTTAACAGCTGACACCAACGTAAAGATAAACCAAAGGTAACAACATTACGCAAAAAATTATTAAAGATAAAGCAATGTGTTTTCACAATAGTTATATTAAAGGCTAGGCAACACTTAGACCTAAAGCAGTAACATCGCTTGACTGGTATGGTTGATAAATCTTGCTCTACACGTTTGCCAAGTCACTTCACTTTGAAATCATGGAAACAACATTATATAAACATATATACTAATTATAAAACAATATATTTTTTTAATGTTACTTAGCATATAAAAACACCCCATTTAACAATCTTGCAGAAATTAGATATAATACATTTCATACTATTATAAAAACACATTTATAAAACAACTATATAACATATATCACCACATACACGTATTTATCAAAAAAATTTTAACTTTGATCATAATATACATGCAAACATATATGCAAACTTTAAACAACTATAACACAACATTTATTAGCATCAATTATTTTAAATGTACAAAGAATGCAGACTATAATGCACAACATTGTTAATAAAAATGAAGTTATGTCAGTCAGTATATATTTATCTAAAGTAATGAAAAAGAATAAACCATTTAAAAACAAAATTAAAAATTTCTAATGAGTATATATTTAGATACCTTAAAATGAAGCATAACACAACACTCTTTTGACAAATTCCAGAGCAATTTTTCTATTCCTTATCATTTTTCCTTAGAGAAAATATACATATAGATATAAAATATAAAATAGACTGAAATAAACGCAAACTTATGTATATAAACTTACATGACCACAAATAACAGTCTTATTTTATTTAACATTTCATATTAAATACATATATAAAACTTTATTTTATAATTCTTTTTGCAAAAAACAATCTTTATCTATAAATAAGAAAACGAATTGAACTTACTAAAAAAACCATCAGCTTCTCCTAACTGCTCTAAAAAATAAAACAATACTTGCTTAAAATGTTCTAAAAAGACTAACGACAAAATGAAACAGTTTACTAAAAAAAAACATTTTACTAAAAAAACTATTTTACCAAACATTTTAGTTCTAACTTCTTCTAAAAAATAAAAACAGGCTATAAAAATGAGAAAAAAAAAAATAAGCAACAACAAACTAACAATTATTTAAATTTTTATTTTAAAAAATAAAAAACATCAATTCTTTTTGAAAATAAGTGCATCAGCTCCAATTTGGTTGCTGATTATACTCGTAAGACCGCGTGGAACATATAACTGCGCTTAGAAAAGTTTAAAAACTAAAAAATAGTGTATTTTACATAATGCAGAACCGTAATTAAAAAAACGAACAATAGGCATAACAATGCGTAACTATGCGCACTAATAAAATTCATTCGGCTATTAATATTTAGATTATAAACTTTTGCAAGATAAATTTTTTATATTTCGTTTAATTTTAAGTATCCGATTACAAAAAAATAGTAAATGAAAAAAATAATAATAATAACAATTACTAATAAAAAAAAAAAATTAGCATTAGCATTACAATCTACATAACTCCCTGTAAACAAATCATGTAAAGCTTGTGTAATTGGTGAAAGTGAAGGCAAAGCTACCTTACTATTATGGCAACATAGAAAATGTGTTTCATCTGGAAATTTCTTAGCACCAGAGTGCTGACAAATTTGATTCATTTCTCCTAAATAATTATAATCTGGAATAGCATTACTTCTCGCTATAGAATACATTCGTCCTTGTCCAACAGCTCTTCTTTCATTTTGGCGACAATTAACATTATCTCGATAGAGCCTATTTCTTACATTTTGGCGATGATTAACATTATCTTGATCGAGCCTATTTCTTTCATTTTGGCGACGATTAACATTATCTCGATCGAGCCTATTTCTTTCATTTTGTAAACAATTAATTTCATCTCGCCTAAGTCTATTTCTTTCATTTCCTCTACGATTATTTTCAACACGCCTTATAGCACTTACATCATCTTGTAAATACAAAACTACATCTAGCCTATCATCCATTTCAATGTCATCATTTTCATTAAACATATTTATCAAAGCAACACTAATTATTTCTTTTTTTTTACTAATCTAAAGTTAACAATAAAATTAATAACTAAAAAAATCATACTCGAAAAATTAAAAAAAAAAAATTTTCAAATCAAATATATATTAAGAAACCAAACAAATGCAAAATAAAATTAATTTGCCATCATCAAAAGTAATACAGGTTTCTTAAGTTTATTTGATAGAAGTTAAGAAAAACCTGCAACCACATCAGCAAAAACTTATTAAAACTTATTTTATTTCTAAAAAAAAAAAAAAAAAATTGCGACAGCGTCATAGTTCATGCGTTGGTAGAAAACATTGAACAAAACACGTAATAAAACTTATTAATGCATTATGTACGATAGAAAATAGGTTATGAACGCGGGTTTATAAAATTTTTTCTCCTAACACACTATTATGCTGCCGCAACTCCAAGATATATATAGTTATATATAGTTATATATATACATATATATATAGAGAGAGAGAACTATTTATTAGTGAAAACTTATGAAAACCAAAATTTTTTATATAACATATATAGTATATATTTGATAAATAAACCTCTACAATTTCTTTGGTTCAACAACTCGATAATGATTAATAACAACTCTGTAAACATGAATTTTTTAATAATTTAAATCTTAATAAATTATAACAATTAACTACTTATTTAAACAAATAATTACTTATTAAATTTTAAAAAGATTTTATGCATACGTAATGTCTACTTAGAAATACTTAATGTCTATTTATACATTAAAAAGATCTACAATTTCGAAAACCTGAAACTTTAAATCTACCTCAAAAAAAAAACAGATATATATTGAAAAGTATTTTTATTTCTTTTTAAAAATTTAAAAATGCTTTTTAACTTACTCCCTCCAATATTATTACATAATTTATAGTATATATTGATAAATAAACCTCTACAATTTCCTTGGTTTAACAACTTTTTTAAAAAAATTTCTAATAAATACATATTTAGATACCTTAAAATGAAGCATAACACAACACTCTTTTGACAAATTCCAGAAGAAATTTTCTTAATTTTTTTATTCCTTATTATTTTTCCTTAGAGAATATATATATGTAGATATAGAGAAATATAAAATAGACTGAAATAAATCGAAAACCTTAAGTTATGTATGAGAAAATAACTTGAACTTACTAAAAAAGCGATCAGCTCCTCTTAACTGCTCTAAAAAATAAAACAAATACTGCCTAAAATGTTTTAAAAAGACTAACGACAAAACTGTTTTCTTAAAAAAGAAACATTGTACTAAAAAAACTATTTTACCAGTCAATTTAGTTCTAACTTATTCTAAAAAAAGAAAAAGAAATACATATTTAGATACCTTAAAATGAAGAATAACACAACACCCTTTTGACAAATTCCAGAAGAAATTTTTTTTATTTTTCTATTCTCAATTATTTTTGCTAAGAGAAAATACATATAGATATACATATTTATAATATAAATATACATATTTATAATATAGATATACATATTTATAATATACATATTTATAATATAAATTATATACATAGCAAACTAACAATTATTTAAATTTTTATTTTAAAAAATAAACAACATTAATTCTTCTTGAAAATAAATGTATCAGCTCCAATTTGATTGCTGATTTTATTTGAATATTTTATAGTTGTAGAATTTTAATCATTATACTGTAATAAAGATCAGACTGTCTTACATTGAGCGATTTATAAAGGATAGGTATTAATTCAGAGAGATATAATTTATATATGTCTGAATTTCACTTTTACATATACTGTTATATAATAAAAGTATTTGTAAAACAGTTTCATGCAAATAAATAACTAATTAGTATATAGTTGTTTATTTTCTATCATTACGACACTTTCTTATATCGTCGTTCTTATATTACTTTTATGTAAACTTTATTTCTAAAGGTTAGCTATCTTTTGGATGATCCAAAAGTAGGTTTGCGATTTTGAAGAAAACACAGACCAAGAATGTTTTTGATTTGCGCTATTGCGCTATTGCGCATGCGAAATTTTTGTAAACCTACTTTTGGATCATCCTAATTAAACTTTTTTAAATAATGCTCAATATCGCTGATATACCAATTCATTTTTTACAAATTCTTAAATATTTTTGATAGTAGAGTGAAAGAAGACAGCTCTTCCATCGCTTTTAAACATTTTTTAAGTAATTTTTTTCTTTTATATTTTCGCCTTACTCTTTAGCAGTAAGTTTTTCGAATTTTTGTATATATAATATTTTTGTATACATAACATGTCAGTGACAGAAAGTTGCTACAACTATTTGATACAGCCTTTTTTAATTTTATCTTTATATATAAGTTCAATTATATATCTATATCAAAACAAAATTATTTTAACAA